TTTTGTGTGTCTATAAATATAGAATGTCACACTGTATTTTCGATAATTGGTTTTGAGCCATTATTCAATAACAGATGCAAATCTAGGGAGTCCATAGATTCTGGAGTTGACGATTTAAGGGAGGGGTAATCGGCAAAAAGATGCTCAAAACCCCGAGGAAAATCGAATTTTTTCTATTGAGGGGGATCCCCAGCCAAAAAAATACGGGGAGAATTTGGCTTAAGAACCGTAGCAAATCGAGAGATTTTGTGAAAAATTGCTGGGGGTCCTGAAACGCTAGGGAAGGGAGTGTACATACGACCTATGTCCGAAGCTCGGACTCCGAAAAAATAAGTTTGGTCAAAAACTGTATCAAAATAGTCAATAACTCTTCAATTCGACATTTTCGGTACTTTAGAAACTCGAAATTTTTGGTTCCATATAAAAATTTCAACTGTCGTACAATTTTTCGTTCCTTATATTTTGAGGCAGCTCAATTTTTCGATAGACGATAGCACGATAGACAGACAAGCCCACAAACAACAGGTCCAATAGAATTTTTTCACAATTTCAATCAAATCTCCATATATCTTCCACGTTGTAAATATAATTGCATGAAAAAATGTTGGTCAACAGCAAAATGTCCGAATGTCATGAGACGATGAAAAAAATCCGTATGCTAATTGAATTTAAATCGTTTGAGTGACAGTTGTCAGATGATGAATTGTATGAAATTCAAAAGTATACAAATAGTCCCCCTCACAAAAACACATATACACCACCAAACGTGCTCAAACACATGCTGTCGAAGCAGTTCATATAAATTTTTTGTTCGTTTTAATTTCGGGCTTCATGCGAATAAAATACACTTGCCGCGATTAAAAATATATTCATAATAAAAAAAATCGTCATCATCAAAAGTCGACAAGATTTTCGCGTTCAAATGAAGCCACCAAACTTCCCCCGTGCACGCATAAAAAAGTTCCGCCGAACATAATAATTCGAGTTTCATTTTCATATTTTTTTTTTTTTTGTGTGTTCGGCATTGTTCATGCCGTGTATGCAAAGCATCCCATCAAAAAGCCATCTAATACAATTAAACAATGCGATGGATATATACATATAGATTTGTGTGACAGTGGCACAATTGTGTGGTGGTATCATTCACAGCATCCGTTTATTTATCGAACAAAAATCTGCTGGTTGATGTACAATGTTCATATCGCTCAAGGGAATTTGCGCACTTAAACAATTACCATCGCATGATGCTCGGATTCCGCATGGAAAGACAGATCGAGCGAGGGTGAGGCGTCGAATGCAAATTCGGATTTGTTGTTCGCTTGTCAACGAACGATATTGTCACCGCACCGTCATACATCCAACAAAACACACTTTAATTTGATTATTCGAATCGCGAAACACCACCGTTACATGTGATTTTTTTTAGTCGCTGCTTTTTTGTTATTTATGATTGACTTGATGCGTAACATATGCGTGAGCCAATTTTCAAAATGAAGCCGGAAGATTGATATCATTTGACATCCAACCATTCTTCACTTTTTTCATCATCATTTTAATCACTCAACGCTTTTATCAGACGGAATTTTTATACTTTTTTTAATCGTTCGTTATTATTACAAAAAAAAAATATGCTGGAATTATCAAGGGATAATGATTAAATTGATTTCTGCTCCCCACTCCAGTTAAACAAGTTTTCAGGTGCAGTGAGATTTCGGATGAGAACGGTCTACTAGAGAAGCATATCTCTCTCTCCCAATTTCGCTCTATCAATTTTCCCATAGTTTCACCAGACATTCATAATTTTAAACCAAGTAGAAAATGTCCGCCCACGTTTTTGGCTCAAGATATATTTCATTTGTCAAGATTTTCATTTCCTCATTTTTTGAATTGACCGAGCTGAAAATAATTGTAAATTACATTTCAAACACTAAACGGAAATAATAATAGTTTTGTATTAAAAGACAATGGTCGCATGTTTCTATTGTTAAAGGAGAGATACAGACGGTTTTTAAAGACGTGAAAATCCAAAGATTTACATTTGCGTTAGACAACGGACAATGATACGATGTTGATGTTTATTTAAGAGAGACAGAAAAGCACTTGAGATACCAATTCTATTTTGAATACAATCGGGGGATGAGGAGTCCGATCACTCGGGGAGGATTAGATAAAGAAAAAGGGGCAGGGATTTGAAGGATACTCTTTTCGCAGTGTGAATGAGAGTGGTTTTCAAATACTCGAGCTAGAAGAGGTCTTTATTAACAAGAACCGTTAAAAATCGTCAAAATCTTCATCATTTTCAGAAAATGTTGGAAAGTTACTATTTGCAGTTCGTTTTTTCTGAATGCCGTGGCTTGAAATTATATCTAGCTAATTACGCAAAATCCAGAAAAATACCATAAAAATGCAGGAAAAATTTGAAACGAAAAAAAAAATCAAGCTTTCCCTTTTACTTATGCTACACTTCTAGTGTGGAAAAGGTAAAAATAGTCTTTGCATTGAATACAAAAGTCCTCCAATATCTCGTAATCCGAACCCTCCCGCGTGATGGCAAAAAGCACTTGTACTTGAAAACCAGAGCATACTGCATTTAATGCCGTCTCTCAGTCATGAACATGAAAATTCTATTCTTCGTCTTTTCCATTGTTTCTACGTATAGAATGCATGTCCCATTGGGCGAGAACGTCTTAAATGCAAATATACAAAAGAAACTAAATAAATACATCGAAATAGAAAGACGTGTTTCTTCGTATTCAAATCACTTTGAATTGATGTCCGGATCATCAAAAAGGTGGAACCAATGCGATGATATATCATTGAGCTGTTTGTATATATAAATGTAAACAAAAGTCAAAATCAAATTTAGCCAGCGAAGAAGTCGGTTGTCTTGAACGATAATTTGTTGCTTTTATATTTGAAATAATAAATGACAATTAAACGCAAACGATATGCATACCCGATGATTTCAAAGAAAATCATATTTTATTACATCGTCTCAAACCGCTTATATACCCCATGCCGCCACTTGCAATACGACAACATTTAATCTGTCGTTCTTTGTTTGTTTAACAATCTGTTTCAGTCTCCTACTCCCTCTCGGTTGATTTTTGTGATAAAAAGATGGATTTTATTGCTAATTAAAATGTGTATGCTCCGGTCGCCCCCCACAAATCTTCTTCAACGCAATAAAGATTTATGCAGTGTTCAACGTCAATAATCCAGTTGCTAACTCTTTACTCATTTTTCCCCAAAACCAAATTTATTATCTTTCTCCACGGCCGGAGTAGAACAAAAAGAATGAAAGAATATTTCATTTCTCTTCTTTAATTGTCGCTTCGCACGGAATGAGATGATAAAATTATTAATTACGCAAAATAAACACCACGATGTCGCTTGCGATGAGGGAACAACAACAAATGAATGCGCGCACAAATAAAAGACACCAAAAAAGAAAATTCAGTTTCCAATTTGTCGCGACAGAGATAGGGAGAGGGGAGAGAGAGAAAGGGTTCGACACAACAGCAACCGCCACAAAATTCACGGTTGACAAGAACACTAACGAGTATAGGAAGCGTACGAATAAATTGCTTTCCGTCGCGCATAACCCACCAAATTGTTTAGTCTTGGGAATAAATTATAATTTTTATTTAAATGAGACACAGTTTTGAAAAAGAAAATTGAAGCTGGGATCGGAAAAAAGAGCGCACAGAGATTTTGAATTTTTTTCTAAATATTTCATTTGATATCTCCACCATAGAATAAAAATTGACGCAAAAAAATGCGAAAAATTCCGAAATTCAAATCAAGTCGTCAGCCATAAACTTCCTTGCGCCAACAATAAATGTGCAAATACAATTTCGAAATGTACTCCATGCATTCCATGCATTCATTGAGTATCCATATCTCATCGTTGTTTCGCTCGGTGTATAATTTAAATGAGAGCGACCGAAGAACTCGGTTGCACAACAACTGAATGAAATTAAAAACTTTTCCTTTTATATTATTGTTACATTTGGCGACGACGATGACGGAAGTGTTTGCCTTCATGGGATGGCGATAATGAGCACAGAAAGCATATTGTTGCTATCAGCATCATTGGCACATTTCAAATGCACGAATCCGTGTGCATTTCTATCACATTTTTTATAGACAGAAAGAGTGAAAAAGGGATGAGGTAGAGAAAGATAGCGAGAGAGAGAGAGAGAGCGCGAAGGATAGAAAGAAAGGGAGAGAGCTAGAGATAGAGAGAGAGATCGAAAAAAGAGATAGAGAGAGGTAGGGAGACATAGAGCCCTGGTGACAAAAAGGGAGAAAAGTAGAGAAAGAGAATAGAAGCCACAATATGAGTATCCATCACTCGTTCTTTTTTTTTTTAAATATGTATGACGGTTTTGTTGGAGCTGGTAAAACTTTGATTCAGTATAACAATGCGAAAAGGACAGTCGCCGAGTAAAATAAAAGCACAGAAAAATGCAGATCCGTTTAATAATAATATGCATATTGTCCACGAATAGCTGTGCATTTTTGTTGTTCTGCAATAATGAATGCGAGCTGAAATGCAAAGAGAGAGCGCAAAATAATGTATAATAATATTTTCTACAAACAAATGACGACCACAATGGCAACCACAGGCTTTGTTTGTCTTTACCCACAAAAAACGGTTGAATTTTTTTTTATCTTTATCATCTTTTGTGTAATTTTAGTCGTTTGTACAACTGATACTGCCATACTGTCTCTACATCCCCACACAAATGCCATTGTTTCGGTTTTTATCCGAATTCATGTGTCGATCTCACGAAATATTATGAAAATCACATGAAAAACCCAACAATCGACTTGTTTGTTTGTTTCACCAAACAACTGAACCGTTTTTTTTTTTGTTTGAAAGTTTTGCGAGACAGCTTATCTCCATTTTTCCTTTCATAGAAGGGTTTAGACGAAAAAAATTTCTCTTAAAAATCTAAATCCATGTCCCCCTTTTTCTCTTCTTCTAGCCGCACAAAAAGCGATGACCGAGGAATCAGCAACGTTACCACCACCCCCGGCACCTCCTTTAAACCAGTCCAAGCAACGTCTCAATCCGCATGAAATCCGTAATGTAGATTTGGTTCAGAGATTTTTGGCTGCAACACCATCATATTTATACTCACCGCCACCAATTGGACCACCGAACTTTTTCTTCAGTGAAATGCTCCGTTCGTTAGTACAAGCAAAAGCAGCCGAAGGAGCAAGAGGCTTACAAAATCCAATGAGACGACCGAGAAAACGCCTTTGGACGCCGCCGACTCGTTTTGAAAATGAATCCCTATCCAAAGAACCAAACGGTGAAAAACCACTTGAACTAACGACAAAACATCAACCGTCACCATTTCCAAGTGCATTCAATCCGCATGTGAAAAGTCCAAAAGAAGGTGACAAAATTACACCGGCCGATGGTATGCCATCAAACGGAAGTGATATAAGTGGCGGTGATTCAAAATTATCGACATATTTGCCGGGCGAAAATATTGGAAACGAACCATCCACAGCTTCGTTGCCACCATCTGATTTGGTGATGCCACAAATACCACCAATTTGGTATCCACCATTGTATCCACCATATGGCATCGATCCATTACATTTTTTCATCGATTTACGAGTGTCGGGACAACTGTACGATCGAAAGAAAGAAAACAATTCACCGTCAACTGAAGCATTGACAAATGAAAATAATAACATTGGAAAAGCACGACATGGTTCAGCGTTCAGTGTACCACCAAGACGTGATAAAAGCCCATTGGCATTAAATCTATCGGCAATGGGAACGAAAACAAATTCAATCGATTTTGTAAACAATAATTGCACAGACATTGATGATAAATCGAGGAATACAAATTATGTGCTGCAAAATTTACCACGAATTTATACATCGTTGACGGGCACACAGAATATCGGTGGCGATGATAGACATTCGGAAGAAAGCGAAAGCAAATCCAGCTCTGATATTGATGTTAAAGACCATGAACAGATTTCGAATCTTTCTGATGATGTCGTCATTGTTGATCAAGACCTGGACGGACAACCGGAACGAAAACAAACTAAACGCAAATAAATTATTATGTAGACAGTTTAACAATGGGATTATTGTGTTTTAATTCAAAAATTAATTAGTAAGACGTGATTTTAAATCAAATCAATGTGTAGAAAAAGAACAACAACATTTAAATATATTATTAGAAGAGTAATTAGCACTTTGTTAGAAATAAAGGTCATTCGAATAACTTACATTTATAAACTTTATTTAATTATTAGAGAATTTCGTCTCTGGTTTTCTTAAACCTAATTTGAATCGTTTTAGTAAAAAAGATTGTGGAAGTTAAATTTGTTCTTTCAATTTTTTGGGTTTTTTGCTTTCATTTTTCTTCGATAATTTTGTTCTACAAAAAAAACATTTTTTTTTTGTTTCCATTTTTTACGGAAGTTTTTTCCACACATTGTGAACCTCTCTTTCATCTAGTTTACTTTCATAATTTTGAAACATATTTTTTTCGATTTTATTTTACTTTCAAAGATGACATTTTGCTCTCGCACAATATTTAGGAAAAATCAATAAAAAGTTGACGTTTTTTTAAAACTGCTCTTTATAAAAAATTGATCAAAATTTCGTCAGTTTTTCGAAATATATTTAGCCTAAAAGGTATTCGAAAAAAAATGCATGAAACTTTAAAGCAACAGCAATACAGAAATTACATTCAAAATAATAAATTAAATAGAATGTCGATGCATATTTTATCAAGAACACATATTTTATCATTGTACGTATCTTCTATCTAAAGCCTTTCAAAAAAAAAAAAAATCTTCAAAACTTTGTGTTTGTCAAGTGAGAACGGCTGTTATTGTGCTATTCGAGCGATTTAAAAATCGAAAATAAATTATGGCATCAATTCGAATTTTTTATCAAATCAATTCATAGAAGAAAAATAAAATTTAAAAATTTTCAAAAAAAACTGACTGAATTTTGTTTAGTGAAAAATTCGCTTTTCCAAAGAAAAAAATAATTTATCAGGAATTTAATTAAAAATGTGTTGATGATAAATTTTCTTGAATTTTTTTTTTCTTAATCATAGAAATATTGAAAAATAAAAGTTAAATTATTAGGAATAAATGAAAGAAAAAATAAATTCAAATTTTGAATGCACCGAATAATTGAAATTTTTCAAATATTTGATTCTGTACATGTATACATATACGAGGGTCACTATTTAAGTTTTTTCAAAAACATATATAAGACAATGGGGTTTCATCGAAAATGGTTTTATTGTTTTTCAAAATATTCGCCATGATGATCAATACACTTTTGCATTCGCTCGAACCATTTGTCATAGCATTCATGCCACTCCGAATGTGATATCTCCAAAACGTGTGTTTTGAACGCATCAACTGCTTCTTCGGGCGATGAAAATCGTTGACCACGCAGTTTATTCTTCACGCTCGGGAATAAAAAGAAATCGTTGGGTGCCAAATCAGGACTGTACGGCGGATGACCCATTAAATCGATCTTTTGACCGGTCAAATAATCGACTGTTTGATGAGATGTGTGAGAGCTCGCATTATCATGATGAAGAATTATTTTGCGACGGCGGTTGTTTTTTCTTATTTCACCAAACACTTCGGGCAAACAAATGGTGGTGTACCAATCAGAATTGACGGTCTTACGAGCCTCTAGTGGAACTGTTGCCACATGACCACTTATCGCGTAAAAACAGGCGACCATTTGCTTCGCAACACTTCGAGCTCGAACAACTTTTGTTGGGTTATCTTCACTTTGAAAGACCCATACAGTCGACTGCTGTTTAGTTTCGGGCTCATACGCGTAGATCCATGATTCGCCACCAGTGACGATAAAATACACGGATTTTGAAACACCACGATTGAATTTCTTGAGCATTTGTTTACACCAATCGACACGAGCCTTTTTTTGAGCGATTGTCAAATTATGTGGTATCCAACGAGAGCAAATCTTTCTGACAGCTAAATGTTCATGTAAAATCTTAAATACGCTGGTCGCACTAATGCCCAGGGATGCCTCAATCTCGTGATATGTTACATGACGATCTTCCATTATCATATTTCTGACAGCATCGATGTTTTCTGGTACAACAACTGATTTTGGACGACCTTCGCGGAACTCGTCGATGAGCGATAGGCGACCGCGCTTGAATTCGTTGTACCAATTATAAATTGTCCGAAGACTTGGTACTTCATCGTCAAAGGCCAAATGAAGTTGATCAAAACACTGTTGTTGTGATACACCCAATCGAAAGTGGAAAAAAATAATCGCTCGAAAATTTTCACGAGTAAAATTCATTTTTTGGCTGAGACGCAATTTACATGTTACGGTAAACAATACAAATAACGATCGAATGACAAAACGTTCTGAGAACGTTTATGCTACAAAATGTTAAACTTAACGAATATGACAATGGTTTGCATCGGGCAATACTAAAACATACATATTGAAGAAACTTAAATAGTCGCCTACGTATATAGCGTGTAAAAAGCAGGTACTTTCCAAAATTGAACCTTTTTAAATCAATTTTCGTTTGTCGCACAATCTAAAATGACGGCCTAAGAAGAAAACAATAACATACAGAATATTCTGCAAAAAGACGAATACAAATTTATGTGAGCAAAAACTAAATATACAAACAGACAGCGCAAAAGTAAAACAGCCTACTTACATGTGTTTCTTATGTAAGTAGGCTGTTTTACCTTTGCGCTGTCTGTTTGTATATTTGGTTTTTGCTCACATAAATTTGTATTCGTCTTTTTGCAGAATATTCTGTATGTTATGGTTTTCTTCTTAGGCCGTCAAATAAACAGCAATTTCTCTATATTTATAAAATGTCTCAAAATTCGGCTACGCAAAACAGGCCACATTTTATATTCAATTTACGAATCGATGTGTAATCTTTGATAATCTTTATCAAATTTTGTGAGATAGTAAAATCTAAAGTTGTCTGGGTCAGTTGATCGATGTAAACAAACTCGCTTACAAAGTCACAGAAAATAAACACAAATATTATATGAGTTCGCAAAATGTTGTACACTTATTTGTTTTCTTGCTATAAATAACATTGTCATGCTTTGAATAGCATTTTGCGACGTGAAGTATTCCAAATAAAGCGTTATCATTTCTATCATTTAAAAAAGAGTAAGTTATAAAAAGGTACTGATTACACTTCCAAAATTTTAATCTCTTTATACATTCCACCGCGTGCGTCATAGCTCTGAACAAAATCGATCGCAATAGTTTCATTTGTTAATAATAAAAAATATATTTCGCTGTATAAAAAAAATCTCGTCTTTATCAATCTAAGTACTTGATTGCGAAATGAATGAGTGATAAAAAGATGATGAAACAGAAAGGTTGTACAAACAAAACATGACTCAAATATGAGCGTAATTAAAATCGTGCATTAAACTAAAATGGGGTGCCTCATTTTTTTTTATTCGATACAGTGTTGCGTAGATCATTGCTTTCGGCAACTTCTAAACGTCGCATAATATTAAGATTGAGTAGAGATTTTGCGATTTCGGTGGCTGTTTTCCGATCTGTATTGCGAATTTGAATGTTTGGTTCGTGCTTAAGCAGTGCATCAATGGCATTTATATCGCTGAGTCTAACGGCTAAAATTAAGGCGGTGTCACCGTTTGAATCCTGAATATCTAAATCGTTTCCATTGTCAACTGGACCCAAATGGTTCAATAAAATATTCAAAATTTCATTGGACTTTGTGAGCACAGCCAGATGAATGGCACTTTGATGTGTTGTTTTCGTGCAAATACCAACTTTTGCGCCTAAATTTACGAGTCGTTCGACTAAGTCTAGATTTTTCATTTGTACAGCGGCATGGAGTGGGTTAATGCCATCGGTAGAGCACACATTTACATCACCGTCATACGTTCGAATCGCTTGTTGTGCATTTGTCGATTTTTGTGATAAATATTCGGTAATGTGTTTACACAATACCGAACATTTATCACAATCACACAACGGGTGACATACCATTTCAGAAATATCATTCGGTAGTTCGATGCCTAGAAAATGACACGCAAGTTTTGTGTCGTTGTTTTTAATGGCGGCGACTATTTTATCATTGTACGTTTTTTGCGGAAGAGAAACCGAGTCGACCGAATGATTGAGTCCGGTTGAGAAACATCCACGGAATACCTCATGATTTAGTGATGTATTTGGCGATGATGAACTTGAACAGTCACTTTGATCTTCCCAATCACTTGTCACCTCTGTCTGACTTGCCACATTTTGTAAAACAGTTGCAATTTGACTATTGTGCGCCAATTCCAATGCAGTATGGCCCATTCGATTTGGAATGTCCGTTTTTACACCATATTCCAAGAGAGTATCGATAATCTCAGTGAATCCCCATTTGGATGCCTGTGTGTGTAAAAAGATAATTACGAATTTTAATGAATAACTCCGAGAAAAAATAGATTTTAAAATTTTATGCCAAAAAAAGTGTGCTTACCAAATGTAATGGTGTATCACCGAATTTGTTCTGAGCATTTCGATCGATTCGCACTTTCATATGGTCCGAATAGTAGAGAAGCGCCTTCACACAATTACTATGTCCATTCAATGCACACAAATGTAAAGGTGTGTTTTTGTCATTCGTAAGAGCATTGATCTCGGCTCCGGCATGTAATAACAGCAGCAATGTATTTTGATGACCACGACCAGCTGCATAGTGTAACGCCGACCCTGAAATATAAACGTATCACATTTATAAAATGGTTCTCATGCAAATATTTTCGAGCCGTACAATTGTTCTCATCTTTAATATGCAAATTAACACCGAGCGCTAGCAGTGAGTTTAACATTTTTGGTAGGCCATGCATTGCTGCCACGTGTATAGGACCTTTAAAAATAAAAATTAATTAAATAAAAAAAAATTTATTAATAATTTAAATAATTCAACTGATTTACCCACCAATGCCATGAGTATTCTGTAAATTTTGACGACATTCTGGAAATTTACTTATCACATCGATTTCGTCAACAACACCTTCGTCGATTCCATCATCAATATCGGTCGGTCGTTTTACGATCGCATCGTCGTTGTCATGGTGAGCGTCATTGTTTACATTCTCCTTATCAGCTCCATCGATTATCACATCCTTATCAGTCTTCAACAATTTGATTATTTCCACTTCGTCTTCTGCAATTGCAAATATCACACATGTATCACGTGAAAGTAAAATCGACTTTTTTGGAGTAAAAATAAAATGTATGGATTTTTTTCAATTTTCGATAATTTCACTAATTTGGATTTTTTTTTTTCATTGAATAGACTTCTCTATTCTATTCAAGCAAGACTTAAACATTGTAGGTAACGACTGTCAAACAGTGATGTGTAAAGATACTATCTACAGTTTAGATAACAGATAAGATAATTTAAAAGTTTTAAAATTCTATCTAGATAAGATAAAATATCTCGTTATCTTTATCTTATCTTGCAGTATCTTCTTGTTTTTTCATACAAAAATAGCAAAAATTGCGTTTAGATAAGATAAGATATTTTGGTAAAGTATCTGGAAAAAGTCAGATAATTTTGAAAAATATCTTAAAAACCTCAGATAAAGTATCTTTGCCCATCACTGCTGTCAAATCATTTGGTTCAAAAAAGATCTTTTTGGGAGAATTTAGTCCGACACCAATAAAAATGAATTTTTCTTAATTGGAGAATTTATTTAATTCCAATCACCAGGTCCGAATCAAGTCTTCTCTTCTTTTCTTTCTCTAATTTTTCTCCTTTTTTCTGCTATTTAAAAAAATAAACTTTAATTTTTTTTCACACTTTTTTTTGTTACCTTTTTTAATCCGTTCAAATAAATAATCGATAAAATCGTCTTTGGTTGAAAATCGTCGCTGCAATTTAACGTCTGTCTTGGCCACCGTTCCAGTTGTGGTTGTACCATTTTTAAATTCTATCAAATCAATCGATTGAATGTACAAAATAGCGGCTTCAAGTGTTGTTATTAAAAAACTGTCAACACCTTTATCGGAACCGTCTGTGAATTGGGTGAAAATGAAATGTTTTAAAAAATGCATTGTTGCTATCCAATGTGTGAGACCCGACTTGATGATAACAAATACTAAGATCGGTATGAGTTCGTCGACAGAGATATCAGTATGACGGTTTTGTGACGCGGCCGTCAAAGCTCGTCGTAAACAACCTACGAAAAAGTTGATGAAAAAAAAATTGATAAAAATTGAATTTTCAGCAATAAAATCGAAGGCGGTCTTACACATTTTTTCAATGGGTGTTGTGAGGACTGGCATTTTAACAAGTTCGATGCGAACACGATTGATGATATCGGTGTGTTTGGTGTCAATTTTAAAATCTTTCAACGATGCATCGGCCAAATTGCGCATGGTTCGATTGAATTTCTCATTTTCATCGGTGCATGTAATGGTGATTGCATCAAACAGCCATCGATACAATAAATCCATAATGTATGTTTCCAGTGCAATTTTAAAAACTCTCTTAAAATGTGGATCATTGACACATTTTTCATACAAACGTCGTTGATACATCAATTTTTTAAAGCAATGGTTCAATAGAATGTCAACCGAGTGTTTGATTCGCTTAAGAACATCCGATGTATCGCTGCCACTGCCGCCATCAGTACAATTGGTATTTTTCATATAACTACAGCAGATGCTTTCAATTTTTCGAAAAACCGCTTTCGAATTGGTTTCGTTCCAAATTAAGGCGACCGCATCTTGTAGACCACGCACAATAAATATACCATTTGGCGGATCGTCGGGTGAATTGATCGCAGCACGTGGTAATAACGGCCACTCGATGCACCATACTTTGTATTTGAGTAAACCTTTTGTGTAGAAAATCTCTTCGAATAGTATTGTCGATGCGATTGAACGAATGTGTAATTTGCCATTGATTTGTTTTACATCGGCGCCCAATAAGTTCGTGAATTGTTCAGGTATTTCATCGTGTTGTATCAAAATATGAGCCAATAAAAAATCCGTATCGCTTAAATCGTCTGGTTTGATTGTGGCCATTCTTGGTATACACACAATCCAATTTTCTAATGGTGCTGTTTCAATCAAAATTTTATGCTCGCGTTGTAGTTTGCAAAAAAATTTATTCTCCGATAAATCTTCGTCGTATTGAAATGCCATCACTATGAGTTTCTTTTTATTTTTTTGGAAAACACACGGAATAGCGCTACACAGCTGCCCAACTACAGTTAATCAACTGAAATGAGAAACAACACACAAATCAAGAATGATTTCAACAATATCTTTGGGTGGTGTTTTTTTTTTCTTTCTTCACAAATAAACACACAAACATAGAAATTTCTAGACGTTTCATGTGATTTTATATGTACAAATATGATTGCAACACATTCAATACGCACTTGTCTGATTTCCCATTGGAATGACCACATACACTCACCTATTTGTTTTCTATTTTAAAATGTGCTACAACACAATTACGCACCAATTCTTGTTTGTAGTGTGAATTGCACACTTTTTTTATTACGTCTCATTTGACAATGTTACTGTGCATGAGTAAATACACTTTGTTTTCCTTTTTTGTCTATTCCATTGTGTGTATCGCTCTCAAGTCACACAAATGTCACACAGCTGATAGGAATGATGTGTTTTTTGACACATGTAAAGCACACCGACAGCACCATCTTTTGGAAGTAAGGAAAAACCTGTGTTTGGAAGCACCGCTCGGCACCATTGGAACATTTAAGTTTCTGCATGAAGGCAAACGGGTCTTTTGAATGAAATTGGAGGTTTTCTTCGACAAATTCATTATATTTCGAATCATTTTCATATATTTCGTTAATTGAATGGTCCAACTTTAATGTTCGCATTGATATGAAAATAATTATCATGAATGGTGTGAAATTCTTGTAAAGAAAAGGATAAAAACAAAGGAAAGTTTCATTTTACAAATTGGTAGTTTTTATTTTTATTAAATTCTTTTTTTACATAAACTTTTTCAAAAAATCCTATTTATTATTCAATATTTATGACATTACAATTCAATTCGATTACAATTTTATAAGAACTCTCTATTCAAAAATGTTGAATGTATATTCTGATTGTTTAATGACGTTGTTGTTGTGGTGGCCTCACATTTATGGTAATGATTTCTTTAAAAAAAAAAAACATATGAAATTTCTTCACCAAAGAAACTTTTCGGTTAGTTAATAAGTATGTTTAAAGAAGTTTACAATATTTTTCATGTTTTGATTCTTTTTTTTTAGTTTTTAAATGGTGTATGGTTGTTGATGCTTCTGTATCGAAAGTGTGTATTTTTACATTTTCTCCATCAGTTCTTCATCATGGGTGTTTAATATTTTTATCGAATTTTCGAATATTTCTCAAATCCACTGCCAGTTTTTCCTTCGTTCAAAATGATGCCTTTAAAGATGCGTTCGGCGATTTGTTCAAGAGCCATCAACTCTTGATGGGATGATTTGGTGTGAGCGATGAGAAACGACTTGAATTCGAAACGTTTAATGCAAAATTCGCATCCAAATGACTTGCTCTTCAATCGGCACATTGTGTGCTTTTTGCATTTTTTCTCTGACTTCATGCGATTTGGACAGTAACGCTCTTGGTATTGTTTCTTCGGCAATTTATTTAAAGATGCCTTCTTTGATGTGCTTAAATGTTTGATATCCTTCTTGCCACTTGGTTTTTGTTTGGTTTCGCCGTTAATCGACATTTGTTTGAAATCACGCGAAAGTTCCATTTTTTAAACAAAAAACTTTAAATAACTTACTAAAAAAAGGTTTTTTTTTATTTTGCCAATTCAGAGTAGTTAAATCGAATGTTTTTTTTTGCTGTCTTGTTGTTTCACTGTAAAATTTTGTTTTTACCAACGATAGTATTTGAAGGGAAATATCTTTTTTTGGGATGTTACTCGTTCAAAAAGAAATTGTAAAGTGATGCTTCTGGAGTAAAACGCTATATTTATACAAGCTATCCACGTAATTAGAGAATGCAATTAATTAAATGAGCTACTAATTACAAATGAGTTTCTTTGACATAATTACTACTTATTAAGAAAGGACCAAATATGCTACCTGTTTACAATGGAAAATTGACCAAATACCTAATGTTATTAGCCAATTGGTATCAAACATTTCTGGCAACAATTGTATCATCTATGGGCATTTTGATATTCTGAGAAAATAGTTTGTGAACCTTGGACCACTATAATGATGTGCATTAAGTGACAATAAATTAACCAATGTATGCAGCACTCGGTTTGATTTTTAAAGGATATATTCTTACGGTATAATACAGGTATAAATTAAATTTTTTGGGGATTTTTGCATGAAAAGTGTATCGAAAATTTCATATTTAATGTGTGTTTTTGAAAGTGTAATATCTGTTTCTAAAAATGTATCTCTTTTACCTTAAATATAGGCAATTCACGGCCGTATGCCATGATTAACATATGTCCATGAAGTCTTGACAGTAAATTCAGGCGTTTATTGCGCCACATAAACAAAATCAAAAATATCAACCAATGCACACGGCATGTTTATCAGTACCTCGGAACTACTATCAAACTCAATTCGATGAAATACATCCATTCGCGGAGAAGTACAAATTGAATTTACGAAAAAGTGTCTCAAATGGTTGTGGCAGCATTGATTGATTTTAAGTATTTACATTTTGAGAACCAAAATTAAAAGTTTTTTATAACATCTTTAATAAGAAAATACTTCACAAACAAGTGGAAAAATCTTATCGTTGCAAAAACAAATGAATAATACTGTACCAATCAGATGGTTGGGTTTTTATTTTAAAAAAAATTATCTATTAAATAATTTTTCTATCATTTCTATTTCATTTGCAAGAAGTCTTCAGGTAATTTTCTTGCATATTATATCTAGGTATAGATGACAATGTTACCATTATAAACATCAAACCCCCCTATCTTCACTTTGTTCAGCTAAACAATTTTGTGGTTAGTCGGTGATTTTAACAAAATTGTCACAAACAAAATAAAGCAAAACACAAATACAATTGAGAAAAATTGGTTTTATTGGATGAGTGGGAATGAAAGTGAAACTAATTCGCAACACTTGCAAAATGCAACAAAAAATCAGGGGCTTTGAAAATGCAACACCAAATTGAAAGACATGGATGGAACATCAAATGATAAATTAATATTGAACTCGATGATTCATTTCAAAACGCCTCCGATTTTTTTGTTGCATTTCTAAATGTTGCGAGATAGAGAAAGAGAGATTTACATTACATTTGATTAGCTTTTGATCAGAAATCGAACACCTTTCCGTATGTAAGCCGTCGTTGTAATAGAAAAGAGAATAAAGCAGCAGCGAGTGCATTCCACACGTTACGATTTGTGAATCATGAACACGATCGAGTGGATTTTTTTTAATATCAAACGCATTCGAAAGTGTAGCGATGAGAATATTTCGATAAATATTCCTCAACTTGGTATAGGTATAATAATACTTAAGAATTTTGAACTTGCTATTACTTTTGATTTATACTTTTGTCTTATTTATTGGGAAAACGTAAAGTGGTATATTTGGATAGGTAGTCAATTTCCGGTCGATATCAATTTTCGAAAAATCGTATATACTACTAAAATGTACTAATTATGTACAATTATGTACAACAATTTTTATGATTATGTACCAACAAAAATTTTTCAGAATTTGGATTTTTAAAAATTGAAAATATCAAAACCCGGAAAATGTTTACCCGAATTTGTACAACACCAAAGTTATACGTCGTTAAAATGTACAAAATATGTACAATTCAAATCACCCATCAGATTTGAAAAATTTTCATCGGGTCACTATCTGGAGCCAAAAGTTCAAAAATCAAAAAAGTTCGATTTACGGATTTTTTTTTTCAACTTTCGTACACCTCCAGTGTATACGTCGTTAAAATGTACAAAATATGTACAATTCAAATCAACCATCAGATTTGAGAAATTATCATCGTGTACCCAAATTTCACCCAGTCCAATTTTTATAGCAGTTTTTGAATTCGCCGCGAATGGGCAACGTTTTAATCATCCATATTATTATAACAAAGTATATTGTATAAAAATGTACAAAATATGTACAATTCAAATCTGTATTCAGATTTGCAAAATTTCAATCGAGTACTCAAATTTTACCCAGTCCAATTTTTATAGCAGTTTTTGAATTCGCCGATAATGGCCAACTTTTTAACCATCCATATTATTATAACGAAGTATATTGTAGAAAAATGTACAAAATATGTACAATTCAAATCTGTATTTAGATTTGCAAAATTCCAATCGAGTACTCAAATTTCACCTAGTCTAATTTTTATAGCAGTTTTTGAATTCGCCGCGAATGGCCAACTTTGTAATTATTCATATTATTATAACAAAGTATATTGTAGAAAAATGTACAAAATATGTACAATTCAAATCTGATTTTGTACACTCGATATTGATTATGTACAAGTCAGAATTCATTTGTTGAATATGTTTTTGGTTCCCAGTGCGGAAAAGTACATCTTACGAATGTAAGACCATTTATTTTCATATACTTAGTAAAGATCGTTGTAGCTTAGCATAAGATTTTTTTTATTTTAATTTCAATAATCGAATATTCGAATAATGAATTAGAGAGAGAGAGAGAGAGAGAGAGAGAGAAAGAGTGAGAGGGAGAGAGAGGGAGAGATTGGTGTAGTATACAATCGATAAAACGATTGAATGTGTGAGTGAGCGAGTGAGTGAATGAAATAAGGTGTATGGGCTTCGCTTTCAGGCTGACGCACGCGCTCGCACTGCTACCGCATGGGTGACGCAAAGGCCCTTGCGTCAGCCTTGCGTCAGCCTTGCGTCAGCCTTGCGTCAGCCTTGCGTCAGCCTTGCGTCA